CAGTCCCACAAAGAACGTCAAAGCTGCTCATTATCCACCAGCAGAAACGATCTCCACCAACATTCAGGTGGATGCATCTGTGGAAACTTGGGATGGTTTGCATCATATAGATAGAAAAACAATTATGGATGACAACGTGCATATATGAGATATCATTTTCTTTGTACCATATTGTGAGCATCGTGTCATTAAATGTTGTTTAAAAGCAGATTTAAAAACAACGCCGCAGCTCATGTCCTGGCTACATGATAAATAAGTTAGTCATTTGTTTCTATCGTTGACTGTGTAGGTGGATGGAAGTCTTTCACCATTAAAAATAATAATATTGCAATAAATATCCTCATACACAAATCTAGTTATTTTGTTTTATTTCTTTTGGATAAATTCATAATTCATAATACTGTTAAAAAATAAGCTTGTAGGTCACCATACTATTTTTCTGTTTATTTCTTCTGGATAAGTTCCTAGGAGTGGAATTTCTGGCTGAAAGACTTTTTAAGGCGTTTGAGATATAGCGCCAAGCTGGGTTGCAGATTGTACCAGCCTGTACCAAGATTCTACCAGTTCATGCCCCCATCAGCGCACGGGAGCCCATCCACTTGAATTTATTCTAGACCACAACAGGTATCCTATGCTTCTCCATGCAGCGACATTTTTAACTGAGAGAAAGTTTATCCACATGTCAGTACCTTTAGGCATTTCCATTTATGTTTTGGGGTCCTTCCTACAGAAAGCATGTCCTTGTGCTTGCTGTTCTCAATGATCTAGACTTTGGTTTGTACATCGCTGTTTGTAAGACAACCATTCCGTGATTCCACCCCCAGGCCTTTTCCCATGGTTTGCCCTCCTTCCAAAAGCAGTCTTAGATCACTTTTACTCCTATTAAATTGACTTTTTTTAGACTCACCATGTCCATCACGATAGCCACCCTATAGGACAGGGTGGAACTGCCCTGGTGAGTTTCCGAGACTCTAACTGTTGACGTGAATAGAAAGCCGCATCTGCCGCTGAGCGATTGGTGCTTTCCAACTGCCTACCTGGAGGCCGTAGTCCAGTGCATAACCACTACCTTCTTCAGCCTCGCTTCCAGAAATAGCTGCTCCTGTGGTGGAGGAGGACAGCTAGATTGTTGGGGAGGGGCTGGGGACGGCTGGAGGGGTGTGTTTTCGAGAGGGTTCTATGATGACACCACTCACTGCACTAAAAAAGATTGGGGGAGGGGTACTCAACAAATGGGGCTGGAAAAATTAGAATCCATGTGCAGAAGAAAGAAAAACAAGACCCAGGCCCCCCACACACACATGCGCAACAATGGACTGAGACCTGAATGCAAACCCCAGAGCTATAAGGATCACCAATGAGAAAATGGGGACACGGGGAGGAGACGAGCCAGTCGGGGTGCAATGTAGCAACGATGAAAAATACAACTTTCTTCTAGTTCCTAAAGGTTTCCTCCCCGCTCCCACTACCATGACTCGAATTCTACCTTGCAAGTCTGGCTAGACCAGAGGATGTACACTGGTACAGATAGGAACTGGAAATACAGGGAATCCAGGGCGGATGAACCCTACAGGACCAGTGGTGTGAGTGGCAAGATGGGGAGGGTAGAGGGAGAGTGAGTGGGAAAGAGGGAACCGATTGCAAGGAACTGTATGTGACCTCCTCCCTGGGGGACGGATAGCCGAGAGGTGGGTGAGGGGAGGCATCGGACAGGGCAAGATACAACAAAATAATGGTTTGCAAATTATCAAGGGCTCATGAGGGAGGGGGGAGTGGGGAGGGAGGGGAAAAATGAGGACCTGATGCCGGGGGTTTGGGTGGAGAGGAAATGTTTTGAGAATGGTGAGTGTACAAATGCGCTTTGCACAGTTGATGTGTGTATGGATTGTGATGAGAGTTGTATGAGCCCCTAATAAAATGATTTTTTTAAAAGAGAGAAAATGGGTACAGACAGGTGCTATCGCAGGGCACCGATGGACTACCTATTGGAACAAAGGAAGCCCACACAATAGGGAACAAGACAGATGACTGGAACCTATTAAAAATAAAACACATTCACATCAAAAGACGTCACCCCAAGAGTAAATGAGAGCCCATGGATTGGGGGTGGGGTAAATCTTTAGGGAAAAAAGAGGCGGGAACTTACTGAAGTTTAATGTTGCTAATATATTTGCTGTCTGGTGTGGCAGTGGCTCCTAGTTATCCCGTGATCTGTTTTACCCATCCTCTAAACCAGGGCCAGGTCAGTAGGCCAGTTTGGACTGCCTCCTTTATTTTATACATAAAGTTTTATTGGTACAAACCAGGCCCATTTTTTATGACCGCTTACTGCTGGCTGGCTTTTCACAACAGCAGCCTAGATGAGCAATGGTGACAGAGGCCATGTGGCCAACAGAGGGCACAGGAAAAGTTACAGGAAATGTCTGTGGTAGAAAAACACACGTATTACCCAGCATATGGATGCCTGGAAGAGATTCATTTCCGAGCATCCCCTGCAGGAATAGACTACATTTCCCATCAGCCTCTGCAGCAATGTCATGGGACAAAGGACTGTCCCTAACATGAAGTGATTAGTAGGTGGGTGCATCTTCATCCTGACCCAAAGGGGACCCTGAGGGTTAGTGGCCACTAACTGCAAGGTTCTAAAGACATTCACTGATCTCCTTCAAGAAAAAACACACTGTATCTGCATGCAACTCAGAGCACAGACATGCAGTTCCTAGTGTGGCCCAACAAGGGGCCCCAGCCCGCAGGGCACAAGCACCACCACGGGGCCAGGTGTTTGCGTCTGCGCCGGCTGTTGTGAGCTGTAACTCCTCAGCGCACCATCCCCATTCTTAGTGGGGTGAGGACAGGATGTTATTTCTTGTAATGACAATAATTATTAAACAAAATTGTCACGCCCTAAATAATTGAGACTGTCCGATTCAAAATACGTGCTTTCTTAGTGTGTCACCACAGACTGACAGGCATTTGGCGCTGGGGGTCGGAGACACACCGTCTACGGTACTCGCTGTTGTCCGTTCTGTATTCACTAGGGAGCCCTGGTGGCGTGGTGGGCTGCTAACTGCACGGTCAACAGTCTGGACCCACAGGAGAAAGATGGGGCTTTCCACTCCCATAAAGAGTTACCATCTTGGAAGCCCACAGGGGCAGCTCTATCCTGTCCTATAAGGTCACTATAAGTTGGCACGACTCGATGGCCATTGAGTTTGAGCTGGTTTTTTGGGTCAGAGTGGGTTATCAAAAGAGCAGGCTCTGGGCAATCAAAAATTTGACCATTAAAGACTCATCCACCCAAGGACAATTTGAAGGGTCTGTGGACTTGTAAGGGGCCCTGGTGGTGCTGTCAGATCATCTTTGGACGGCTCGTCCCAAGCCAGGGAGTCAAACCCACCAGTTGCTCCACGGAGGAAAGGGAGGCTGTCTATTCCTGAAAGATTCAGTCTCAGAAACCCTAGGGAGCGGTTGTACTGTCCTGGAGGGTCACTGTGAGCCTCTCGCTGGATGGCATGGGATGGACTTAGTGCTTTTGCTGCTGTTGGATTTGAACCAAAGGCTGTGAAACCAGGGTGCCATCAGACCTTGCCTAACTTGGGAGAAAGGGAAGAATCGGCATCAGTATCAGCCTGAAGCTGGTCCCTGAGGTGGAAGGCAGACACATCTCCATTCCCAGCCTTTCGACCGATCGGGCCCCAGCCATCCCGCCCATGGCAAGCTATGCTTCTGCTGGGTTCAAGGTGTTACCCTGGCCACACAGAACTCTCAGCCTACTCTCATGGTCATGGGCTTGGTCAGGAACAGGGCGGCTCACAAGCACCCACACAAGCCTCGTCACCGGCCCCTCGCAGACCTGCCTCAGACAAGTATTACCCCACTCTTGAACTCTTCCAGGAAATGCATGGTCAGCCAGGACACCTCCTGCTAAAGACTCTCCATTATCTCACTCCATGGGCTGGGAAGCCCACTGCAGCCACCTCACTTGAGGCCGAAAGCTCACAGCACTGTCTTAGCAGGCGTCCTGGCTCCTGCTACCTCACACTGTTGACACCAAATGTTACAGCTCCCTGCCTCCTGGGTCTAAGAGGTTCTCAGCAAAGCGACGCTGGGTCCTGACTCTTCTTGACAGTAGGAATCCCCTCAGTCTCTGGGGGTTGGTGGTCTTTGATTAAGCCTGGGTGACAGCAGAATTAATCAATTTCCTATAAGGCTTCCACGCATCTTATTTGTATAAACAGGCTATCCAACTCCCTTAGTGGACCACAAGCACATTGTTGGCATAATCCTACCCAAGCATGTTGTGGAGGTCCCTAGACCATAGCTACAAGTGCCATGTAAAAGCTGCTCACTACACTGCCAGGCCAATCTCTCAGAATGGCCCTAGTCACCCCAGCATCAACCCATTATCCAATTTGACTTTGCTTCATATTCTCTTTCGACAACTGAGCACCACTCACTGAAAGTAACCCTTTAAAACTCTTCATTGTGGGTAATGTCTCTTCCAGTTGTCAGTGACAAAAAGACAGTAACACTCCTCCAGATCAGAAACCAGGGAAATGATTGGTCCATGTGACTGACAACCTGGATGTGTGGCTAACTGCTTCAGGCAAGGCTGGATGCAGACACTCCGTGTGATTAGGAAGCGGTTTCTCCCTCTCTCGGCCCCTTTGCTTTGTGTCCACTGTGCACTCAGGCTTCCTTCTGTCTGCTGGTGAAGACCAAGAGACAATCACCGGTACTCTCTGACGCCCTACTGAGCGCCCACAGAGGGCTCACTCTCACTGCTAAGGGGTTGGGGGGACGTGGTCAGACCAACAACCAGCTCTGGCGGCGGAACAGCTTCTTGGATCTAAGTGCTTCTGCCGTGGAGGATTTCAAGCTACCAATGTGATGTTCCTGAGCACAGTGTTGGGGGGCGTGCAGGAGAGCATCTTAATGTTTTTACCACCCAGGAACAAATAACCCCCAGAGCATCAAATGAGAAAATACAGCACAACGAGTTCAGAAGTGATGTTCTATCACCTTTATTGTTAATATCATTTAATTGTATCTTTTCCGAAATTGGGCACGTGAAATTCCTCAAGTTCCAAAAATTGCTCATGAACCAGTTGGAGCACAGCCTTGCAAATGCCGCAGGAAGAGGCGCTTTCTGTAGCCAGAACCTGGGGAGTGGCTGCGGCAGTCAGGGACGATAGGCGGCTCTCACCGATAGGCGGCTCTCACCGGTGAGAAGCATTGAGTGAAAGCTTAAGTCTGGTGGTATGGTAGCTGAGGGTATGCAGGAGAAGACTGTAAGTCATGCCAGAGACAGAAACTTACTCTGAGAGAATGTCAAGAGAGACCTCGGAGAGATGCCAAGATGTGTTACCAAAAGGCCATGATAGTTCTGAGGACTTCAGCAGGCTCAGGCCTAGGGGTGGTGTTGGCTTGCCACAGGAGGGGCTCCAGGGGACACACCAGCGATGCTGCAGAGGTGCAGCGACAGAGAGCTTAGGCAGGGACATGTGGGGAGGGTGTGTACAGAACTGGAAAAGACCTTCTCTGACTATTGCGCCCACTTTCCAGAGTGAGCCAAAAAGCACTGCTACTAGCGTTCGTCTGCAGTTGATTCCAAACCAACCATATTTAAACATGTCTGTGGTCAGTGGGCGACTGCAGACACGTGGTCTCAGTAACGCGCTAGTCTCCTTAGGGCGTCTTCACAAAGGTCCAGTCAAAACACTGGCTTCCGTGGGATCTGTTCAATGTAAGGCAGCTTGGAAGGTTATATAGCCATTGTGTCTTGAGATCCCAAAAGAGTTATCTGAAGAGATTTTCTCAAAGGACACAGGACAGGGGGCATGTGAGGAAGGGGTAAGAAAGTGGAAATTGGCATTGGTGAGAAAAGACAGGGATTTCTTCCATCAGGACAACACACCCGCTGGTTCTCCGAGGGCAGCCAGAGCTGGCCTTCCAGAATCTTGTTGGGAAACCTTACTCCCTCCACCCTACAGTCTCGAGCTTGCCCTTTGGGTTTCATTTTGTTCTCAAAACCCAACAAATGATTCAAAAGAACTTGAGTCCTGAGAGGATATCTGAACTACTGTTTTAATGTGACATCGTTTGAATTCTTCAGGGAAGTTGTCAGAGATGGGAAACCCGTGTTCAGAAGGGTGCAGACCTACAAGGTTACATCCGGAAACAACAGCGTCACATTTGGGTATTCTTGCTTTAAGAGGTTTCTACGGCCTCACACAGCCTTCAGAGACGTCAACACACCTCTGCCGATGAACGCAGGCAGGCCTTTGTCAAGTGTAGGCGTCTCCTGCCCCGATAGTGCATTTCCCCCTGTAAGTCAAAGAGCCCTTACAACACCTGTCTTTGTTAACCCAACTTTTGCTGGCCTCTGGATCTCCAGGTTTCCGTAGCAATGCAGCAACAGAAAGGCCACCATTGGACCTGCTTTAAAGAACAAAAAGGTATTTTCTCAGTCCAGTAGACCAGATGCCAGAATTTAGGGCACTGGCTCTGGGGGAGGCTCGGCAGTCTCTCTGTCCACTCTGGCGGAAGCGCTTTGTCTCCTTCAGCTCTGTCCCTGGGTGGTCTTCAGGTGGCACCTGTCTCCCTGTGTCTGTGGTGCTCCCTGTAACTCACGGGTGCAGGGGTGGAGACATAGTTGACACTGGCACTGTCTCATTAACATAATAAAGAAGACTATTCCCAGACGGGCTTCCACCTACAGGGGCACAGAGGTTAGGATTCCTACAAATGTTTCTGAGGGACACAACTCAATTCCTAACAAGAAGCAAAGTCATTTTCCGGGTATGAAAATAGAGGCAATTATTATTTAATTAAGCATCTTCATTGATCCTGCTACATATTAGCAGAAGTCTTAGAGCCGGAATACCGAATTATAGATTCTTGCTCAGCCTTTCCACTACCGCTATTCCCGACACATTCCCCCCCACCCTTCCCTGACAGCAGTTCTCACCTTTACCTGTTGGGTTTCAGGCGGCATTTCCTCACCTACAGGAGACCCACGCCACACAAGCCCGGCGCGTTTGATTTCACTGGCGTCTTGCGGGCCAGCTGCTTTCAGCGACAGAAATGTGGTCTCTCAGGAGGGCTGCATCTGCCACGGCGCTGCTGGCATCTTTTCTCCCCACTTCATATAGGACTGGACACAGTTTGCCTGGGACAGCTCTGGTCACACTTCAAATGGTACCTAAATTCACTGTTAATTCCAAGTACAATCTCTCAGAGCAGCAGACATAAACAAGTAGTAAGTCTGAGCGTCTGTGATACAGCAACACGACAGAGAACCAGAAAAAACAGAGTTTAAGGAAGAATACGGCCAACTCACGTTTTGTAAACCGCCCTATAACCTGAAAAACATTCTTTTGCATTCCTGGTCAAACTCCACCGATATCTCACAGACTCAAGATGAGACCACATGGCTGACTTTCCAGCACAATTGAATATATCTTTAAGAATCAAACGTTCACGAATTAACTCTGTGTCTCGA